GGCTGCTCCACCGCAATCAAGGAGCTTTTGTTAGCAACAGTTCCGTGAACTGAGAAGATTGGCTGCCCACAGCTGCAGCAGTAACCGCCCTTTGAGGAGGGGCGTGTAGTCTCCTACTCAAGGAATATTGCCTCCGGGAACCCTCACGCTGTTCCTCTTGGATCCTCCGTTGGGGGAGACACTGGATAAGAGTTTCCCCAACGTGTGTCGTAATAAGGTGTAGAGACATTGATTTGCTTTCGCAGCCAGTCGATGACTGTGTGGCTACAAGCTGGAAATATGGACCACAACCAAGAGGACCCTGCCTCGTGAATTCTTGCTCTCAAGGAGCAGGCATCCAAATGGATTTCTGGGCTCAGCAAGATCAGAGCTCAGCAGGAAAAAGACACTGCTTTTTCAATTTCTTTTCTTTTTTGTTGCTTTTTTTTTCCTTGTATGTTTTTGGTTTTGTTCTTGTTTTGAGATATCTTACTCCTTCAAACAGTCCTAAGGATGGCTCTGTCAGATGTATCCTCCAGGACCTTAGATAGAAGGAAGTCCAGAGTCTGGTGTCTCAAGAGAACCTGGGCAAATGAGGGGCCAACACTCTCAAAGCTGGCTCTTCCAGCCTGTTCTTGGGGCTCATTGTTGCCTCAGACTGTCCGGACACAGATAGGGTGAGAGGTGTGCGCGTGTGCGCGCGTGTATGCGTGTGTGCGCGTGTGTGTATTCACTGGATCTCAGTAATGTTTGCCTAGAGAAGGGGCTTCAACCTGATTGTTAAGGCAAGGGCGCCCAGTCCATCCCAGGGCCACAGAATCTGCTCCTTCAGCTCCACACTGCTACCTTGTGGTTTTAGACGCAGTTTCCTCTCCACCTCCGCCCCCCACCCCAACTCCCATGCTGCTTGCTCAATAAATCAGGTTTTAGTTTTATCTTGTGAAGTCCATTATTACTATTTAAAAGAATAAACATACACGGGATTTTCCTGGATATTAAAAGGTTGTATTGGTTAATTTCAACCTGGACTTCGGAGTCTGGACCCAGAGGGAACCGCAGCGGCAGCATGGCCACTTTAGACCAAACCTGTTTACATACAAAACACAAGCATAGCCACTTGGGAAATCAGTTGCTGGTACTAAATAACTTAAAAATCCATCCTGAGGAATTCCTACAATTAACTGGTCAGCTTCCTACACACCAGTATCATCTCTGCCCTGCCCTGGTGTCCTGTTCCTACATGGTTGTTTCCGGTTAGGTTGGTTGGTTGGTTGGTTGGTTGGTTGGTTGGTTTTCCAAGACAGGGTTTCTCTGTGTAGCCCTGGCTGTCCTGGAACTCACTCAGTAAACCAGGCTAACCTTGAACTCCTGACTCTACCTCCTGAGTGCTGGGATTGAAAGTGTGTGCCACCACTGCCTGGCTCTGGTTTTGTTTTATAAGACAGGGTCTCACTATGTAGGCCAGACTGGAATGAATTCTCAATCCTGCCTCTGCCTCCTGAGTGCTGGGCTAACAGATGCGTGCCACAATGCCCAGTGCTATGTAAGTTTGGGGTTTTGTTAATTTTGCAGTACTAGGGCCAGAGGGTTAAACCCAGGACCTGTTGCTTGCTAAAGGATTGCTCTGCCACTGAGCTATGCCCCAGCTGTTTTTACTTTGGTTTCAGAATGGGGTCTTGCTAAAACACCCAGCCTGGCCCTGCATTTGCTCTGTAGCCCAGGCAGTTCTTGAATTTACAATCCTCCAGCCTTCTGTAGAGCTGGGGTTACAGCCTGTGGATACAGGCCCAGATTTCCTCTGTAGATTTTAAGGGATTGAAGTTTCAGGATCCACAGTGCACAGGGTGACGTGAACTGTTATCCTCATTCCCAACGTAGAAGCAGTGTTACTCAGTTTATCCCGGTGTTAGGGGTCAGAAGGATTCTGGCTCGCTCCCCGCAGGGTCCACCTGCTTGTGTTCCACCCTAGGCTTTCTCACTGATGCGCAATGTCTATGAGAACTCTCTGCAGGGGCTACACAGGCTGTCACTCATGGGCTTAGGCCAGATTCACCTTCGTTCCAGGAGCATCAAACAGTGGACTCCCAAGGTCCCAGGTCCAGTGTGTGGTCACTTCACATTGGTCTTGTTGTAGAACCTGCTTTCTGGAAAAGATGCAGGCAGTCTTTCATGAGAGAAACTGCTGGGGCCCCCAAAGACACCCACAAGTAAATTTTCCTTGTGCAACTCACAGAGAAAGTACAGGAGTAGGCCATGGGGACTACTGGAGACAAAGAGTAGGTAGAATGGGGTGTTAGCCAACCTGGGTCCTGCATGCTTTTCCTTCTTCCCAAATTATAGACTCTCCAGGCCCAAGGCCTTGGGAGCCACCCTCTAGCTGCAGCCTAAGACAGACTGTCATTTCCCACTGTGACACTAGTAGAGACTTCTTTAAAAATCTCTCCCAACAGAGTGGCATTGTCATTTCTAGTTCATAAATAAAGGCAATACTGTAGGGAGAAGTCGGTGACTTGCTGAGTTCATACAGGGAGAAAGAGAGCAAGACACAAGCCCAGATTTTTGGGATGCACACTGGGGTTCCTTCTGAGTCCCAGTCACACAGCGAAGGAATTCGTTAGTACCTGCTCTGCTATAGGGAGCGGAGCCAGGGACTGCAGTCAGAAGATGGGGTGTTGGGTAGTGAGGTGCAGAAGATTAAATAAGCAGGAAAGGAATGTCTTCAACTGCTCTGACTGGCTGGATGCGGAGTGCGTCCCAAGCCCAGATCTACATGATAGATGGGCAGAGAAGAAGCAGTTAGAAGTCTGGGGCTCCCTCAGGCAACAGAAGCCTCAGGACAGAGAGAGCGTGGGTGACTCCCTGCCTTGCACACCTTTAACACCCCCTTCCCCTTTGTGTATGTTTGCTGCTCTCCAGTGTTCTGTACCAGACGTTTGGATGCTCTGCTCAGTCATAGTGTCCTTAGGAAGCTTCTTAGGGTGGAGTGGCTCTGATACACATCATGACCGAAAGCGACTCAGGGAGGAAAGTGTGTTTATTTCAGCTTACAGCTCCCAGGTCACTGATTCACTAGCGGGAGGTGGGGAGAGTCAGGGCAGGAACTCAAGCAGAGGTCGTGGAGGGGGGCTGCTTACTGGCTTGCTTTCTCTCTTATTTTTAATTTTTAAAGTAATTTCTTTTTTTTAAAGATTATAATATAACCATGTCATTTCCCCCTTCCCTTTCCTCCATCCTAACTCTCCCATATACCCTTCCCTTCTCTCTTTCAATTTCATGTCCTCTTTTTTCATTAATTATTGTTACATACATATATATTCCCTAAATAAATAAATATAAACTGTTCAGTCTGTATGATGTTACTTGTATATATGTCTTCAGCTCAGTCTTCTTTCTTCTACAGCCCATGACCACTTTCCCAAGGGTGGCACCACCCACAATTGAGCTAGGTCCTCCCAGGTCAATCATCAGCCAAGAAAATACCCATAGACCAGGCTGCTGAAGGCAAGTCCTCAGCTGAGGTTCCCTCCTTCAAGATGAGCATAGTTTGTGTCAAATTGACACAGGAGTAGTGTCTTTACAGAGCCACAATCACGCTTCAAAGATTTCCGAGGCATGGGGGAGCGAGCCTGTCCCTTAGAGTTTTCCTCAACAGCGTGTAGATCCGTCGTGATTGCAAACCACATGTATACCCACTTCGTCTGACTCTCCTAGCTGAGCTGGCCAGGCTCAGCATGCTACTGACTACAGTCACAGTCACTGCTAGGCCAGGACCAGGACCCAGGCCTCTGGCCTACTGTGAGCTGATGCTTTTTGTATAATCTTGGCTGACCCTGAGACCCAGAATGAAGGCAGGGAAGTTCCTCTAAGATTTTAGCTCCCCTGGAAATAATCAGGAAAAGTGGGGCAAGGCCCAAGGTTTCACCTTTCTTCACTGTCTCTTCTTCCTATCTCAGGAGGATTCAGCACTGAGGTCAAAGGGACAGGCTCTGGTACTTCGTGATCTACCAGAACTGAAGTAAAGACGAATACGCAATTGTTATGAAAATGGGGCAATGCTAGAGCCTGCTGGCTAGAATGCCCTTTGTGGGTTTGTGCTATTACCCAATTCCATTCTTGCAAAGTCATAGACAACTAGAGCTGAGAAAGACCTTAGAGGCCATCTCACTATAGGTGAGGAAGCTGAGACCTGGAGGTGGAGGTGGCGTCCCAGGGCAGAGCAGAGCCTTAAACCTTGATTCCAACTTCTCCTAGAACCTCGGTGCTCTCTAGAGCCAGGACCATGTCAGCTGTTTCAGAAAGGAAGTCTATCCCACACAGTCTGGAGGAGGAGACGAGGAGGAAGATCCTAGGCCTGTGGCCTCTCAGCCTTATTCCTTCTGATTTCATCGTGACCATTTTTATTCCTCCCTCCCTCTCCTCTTTCTCCCTGTCTCAGCACCAGTGAGCCATATCACTGAGAACTCATGTGTCCCCAGGTGACCCATCTAGTGGCAGGAGAAGAGCTACCATTTACTTCATCCCTGCTTGGTATCAGTTCCAAATCATCACCATCAGGTACGAGGTCCCACGTCACCATCAGACTGCCTCATTTCTGTAGACAGATGGGTATAGATGAAAGTCCCACACACCTGTTCTTCTTTTTATAATCTCTTCTCTCCTCTCCTGGTGGCACTGAGATGTACCAGTCAGGTTAGAATGGGGACAGTTAGCCAAGTCATGAGGCAAGCCTCTGAGCTGATAGCGCCATCTAGAGCTCTATATCCACCAGTCAGGTATGTTTGTGGGTGCCCTTATGAATGTGGAAGAAACAGGGAATTTGACCCGCCTGGTTTCCAGCAATCTAAAACTGAGAGAGAATGGGCAGTGCTCACTAGAGGCTGCCATGACACCTAGGGTAGTGGCAGCCATTCCAGTCTCTTTAGGTTGCTTCAAACTAGGCTCTGCCTGGTACCACCACCAACCCCTTTCTTCCTCATTCCCAACGCCTGAGATGTGCAGAGCCCAGTCCTAGGGAGTCCTCTCTAAAAGATGCTGGTCTCCACGATGGCTTCTCCATCTCTCTGCTCTAAACCCTTCGGTGACTCGGCAGGCCTGGGCTTTGCATGGAGGCTGAGGTTAAGGCTGAGACGGAGGGTGGAGGGACCACCGGAGTGGGTCAATAGTGTCGTGCGGCGGCTAGCAAGGCTGCTGTTGGAGAGTTGCCTGTGCACCCGGGGCTGGGGACCCCTGCAGCAGACACGGTGACTCAGGGAACGTGGCAGCAGGTGGCTGTTGAAGCCCATGTAGATCCAGGGGTTGCAGCAGCTGCTGAGGTTGCCCAGAAGCATGGAGATGGTGAAAGCCACATTGGTGGAATCTGCAGAGAGAGAGAAGCACAAAATGTCTTAGAATGACAGCTCAAGGGTCAGGGGGCACAGGACAGAGGCTGGGTCTCCAGAAGAAGGCATGGAATCCCAGACGGGGTTCTATGACCAGAGAGTGCAGTTCAGGCTTGACCTTTAACTCCCGAGTCCCAGTCTCACTGGCCCAGTTTCGGTTGATTTGTAACCGTAGTGTTAAGGTTTGGTTCAAGTTCAATTTAGAAGAGTAAACACTGCCTGGGTAGGATGGGTCCAAACAGAAGAACAAGGTTTTGCTTTAAAATCTGGACCACGAATCTCTAATTTGAGCCTTCTCTCCTTCCTTTTCTTTTGATCCTGGCTCACTCTGTAGATAGGTTCAGTCTTAACACAGACCTTCTGAAATGTCCTCTGTGGTCCCTTCTCTCCCAAGAAAAATGTATGCTTCCTTGGGTATACAGGTAAACAAAAGGAACATTTACTGATCAAATCACAAAGTCATTGTATTTTTCTCTTTGATATGAAGGATTCCTTCAGCGTCTACTGTAGCCTGGAGGGCATGGGTTCCTTTAGCCTGTTTTCATTGTGGAAAGTTTTCTTTCCGCTTTGAGGATGGTGGACTGAAGGCTGAGATGACCATTGTCTTTCGGAGCTTGAAACCTATTGCCCTAAGCCCTCCCGTTGCTCTGACGGGCTTGTCTTTCTGTGTGACTTGATGTTTTTCTCTTGCTGCTTCCAAGGTACTCTATAATACAATGTGGGGAAGATCTTTTCTGGTCTTACTTGGTGTCTTAAATTCTTCCTTTACCTGGGTGAGCAGCTCCCTCAGATAGGTGAGTTTTGAAGCTTTGGCTTTATTGGAAATGTTTTCTATGCCTTTTAGCATGACTTCTTCTCTCTTCCTTTTATGCCCATGGTTTGTAGATTAGGTCAGGGGATCCCTTAGGTCTCAAATGTTCTGCTCACACTTCCTTACTGATTTACCTTTGCCATTGGTTGTTCCAGCTCCTCCATCTTGTCTCCAAACTCTGATACTTCATTCTTCTCATGATCTGCCCTTCAGCTGAGGCCTTCCACAGACTTTCCTGTTGACTTACTAGTATTTAATTTTTTTTTCAATATTTTGGTCTCTTTCACATCTTGTATTGATTTCCTTCAGCTCTTTGTGTTCTCCCGAAACTTACTTGGGAGTTTGTGCTCTCTAGGATTAAAATTATTCCTTCAAATTCTTTGCATGGGATTGTTGTCTAATTCGGTCTCATTGGAGACATTCTTAGCTTTTCATGTTTCTTATGCATTGGGGTTGGGACTTGCGCATCTGGGGTTAGGTCATTGGTTGGATTTTAAAAACTCACTCTTATTCTTTCAGTAGAAGTATTTACAGTGTTCAGAGAAGATGCTGATAGTGGGGTTGAGGCATCGTTTTCCTCTATTAGACTTCAGGGCACCAGGAGCCATCTCCCCTGAGAGTGGAATGGGAGCTGTAAAAACAATGTTGTCAAGGAATAGGCCCACTATGAAAGTATAGTCGTAGTTAAACAACAATCACTTCCTAGGTACCAATAATTTTAGATAATAAAGAAGAATTGATAGTACTGTAAGCATGAATTTATTAGTGTAGGTATGGGTAGGAAAGAAAAACGGTAAGACGAGTGCTGGGTGGATGAAGAAAGTAGAGGAGGGAAATGTAAATAGGAGGGGGCAGGAGGGACAAAGGTGTGGGGTCAGGGTGGGGTGGGTCGTTTGGGTTAAAGTTGGAACGGGAAGAGAAAGGTAAGGAAATGCAGCTAACCTGGAACCACCCCAGCTCACAGAGGACGGAGACACAGAAGCTCTCCCACCCTGGCCAGCCTGTGTGCTTACAGAAAGAGGAGCGGGTAGGGAGAGAACAAGAGCAGAGAGGGGTGCAGCTGGCCTGGTAAGCTGGTACTGGGTATTAAATACGGGATGTGAAAGGGAGCAAGCTGCGTGGGGGCGCAGAGTATGAATATGGGCTGACCTGTTCGCTCGCTCGCGTTCGTGTCTCAAGCCTCCTGGCAATCCTTCCCAGACTCCCAGAAGCCTGGAACCCCCTTACAAATTGTGTAAGGTCACAGATGCTGGGGGATACTTCAGGGTCGAGCTCTGTGCTGCAGATGCTGTTCTCAGCTTTGGGAGCTCTTCGGATGATCAGGTTACTGACTCTCGTTCAGCCAGTATGTGGCTCTTCACTGGCTGCATCTCAGATGCCGGTCATCCTTGAGGGAGTCGCTTCAGGAGTGCAATTGCCAACACTGGTCCCATACCAAGCTTGAATGGGTCCCATTCCCAATGCTTGAAGCGCTGCTTGGAGGCAAGGTTTATGTCCCCTGCAGACTCTAGCTCTGGCTAGGTTTCCACATCACTGACCGTGAACACCGCGTGCTTTTGATTTAGTTTCTTTCTTATACTCTGGAGGTATTCTGCTGACTGGGTTCAGCATATAAACTCCCGGCCCCTGCTCTGAATTTCCCGAGCATGTAGTTCACAGAGGATCTTAGGCCACCAAGTCACCAAAACAGCAGGAGTCTCTAAAATGTTATCTTATGGCTGCCAAGAAGAGAGGGTCTTCCCAGCATCTCTCCTCTCTGTGTAACTGCTATGGATTTTCTTGGGGGGGGGGGGGGGTCTGGTTTCCCCACATTCTTTGCTCTTCAAAATGTCTGTCACTGAAATTACAGTGCAGATTTTCTGGGCTTCTCTTCCCTAAGCCAGAGCTCCTGCTCTCTGTGGTTCAAGAAATTTATTTTGAACAGTTTTTGCTCTTTATCTATTAAAGACGAAACTGAGTTTTCATGCACGGTGTGCTTCTTAATTTTCATATAAACAGATCTTAGCCAAGTATTTGATATTGAAGAACACAAAGCACTTTCAATGTTTTCCAGAGTTGATTATATTTCAAATTTATAATAGTCAATGCTGAGACTGTCACTTTGTAAGAATATGTGGCATAAAATGACAGAAGAATATATAGGGCAATTCCAGATTTTGCTGGAAATTCTATTCTAATAATCCCAGGTCAAAATTTATTCAACAACATAATTATTTTAATGTATTTTTATGCATGTATGTGTGGTATATATTGTTTGCATATGTGTATACAGGTGTACATGTTTGTATATGCATGTGGGAAAGTCAGAGGTTCATGTGAAGTGTCTGCCTCTATCACTATCTCCCTTACTATTTTTTTATTTTTTTTTTAAGACAAGACATCTGATTGAGTTCAGAGCCCACTTATTGGCTAGACTTGGAAGCAAGACTTCAGGCACTTTCTGTTCCAGCACTGGATCCCACTAGCACACTAGACTTTTTACAAGGATGCTGGAGACTCGAATTCAGCTCCTCAGGTTTGCATGCAAACACTTTACCCACTGAGCCACCTCCCCAACTGATGTGGGATCCCCCTCTGTATGCTGTGAATATGTTTTATTACAATTGGTTAATAAAGAAGCTATTTTGGCCCATGGAAGGGCAGAATAAAGCCAAGAGGGAAATCCAGAGATACACAGAGAGAGGAGGTAGAGTCAAAGAGATGCCATGTAGCTACTGAAGGAGAAAGATGCCAGAATGCCTGAACCTTACCAGTAGACCATGGCCTTGTAGAAATACACAGATTAACAGAAATATGTTAATTTAAGATGGAAGAGTTAGTTAATAAGAAGCCTGAGCTAATAGGCCAAGCAGTGTTGCAATTAATATAGTTTCTGCGTAAGTATTTGGGTCTGGGCTGCCGGGAATGAACAAGCAGTCTCCACCTACACCCAACCCTGATTATTTTCAGTATGAAACTCAAGTCAGTAACTCAAACAAAAATTTTAAAAACCAAACATTCCAATCCAATGAAACCCAAAGATAAACTAATTTGATGCATGCTGAGCAGCGATAGTAGGAAAGTATTAGGTGGCGCACACCTTTGACCCCAAGCACTTGGGAGGCAGGAGCAGGTGGATCTCTGAGTGTGAGGCCAGCCTGGTCTACAGAGTGAGTTCCAGGACCTCCAGGGCTACTACACAAAGAAACCCTGTCTCGAAAAACCAAAACAACAATAACAACAACCAGTTGTTTTGGTCTTTCGATTTCCTAGAGAGCATTCTTGTCATATGCTCTGGTCACCATATTCTCCTTCTCCTCTGGTCCAAAGCAATAGACGAGCAGACCTTGGGATAAAGCTTCTAAAACTTCACTACATGGAGAAGCCAACTGCCATGCTACAAGCAGGCCTGTGGAGAGGCCTTCACGGCAAGGAACCAATGCCATGTGGCCAGCTTATGCACTGAGGCCTGCCAGCCAGCCTACACACCAGCACACTTGAAAGGGGATTTTCTCCTTGGTGAGCCCTCAGATGATGATAGACCTGGCTGACACCATTACTGCTTCCCTGTGAGAAACTCTGAGTCACAGGACCCAACAAAATGTCGTGTAAATTTCTGACCCACAGAAATGATTAAGGTAAGATATATCTTTCCAAAGATAGCTCTCCCCTGGGTAACTTCAGCCATCTTTATCTGCTTGTCAGGCAAACAATCTTCATCTAGTTCATCGGTTCTCAACCTTCCTGGTGCTCCAACCCTTTAATATAGTCCTCATGTCGTGGTGACCCCTGACCATAAACTTACTTTTATTGTTGCTTCATTCCTGTTATGTTGCTATTTGTAATAAAAATACCTGTGTTTTCTGATGGTTTTAGGCGACCACCATCTCCAAGTCCAGCAGGGACAGCTGCTAGGCACAGAGCATCTGCTTGCATCTGGGTCTTATTCTCAGATGGCCTCTCGGATTCTACTCTCTCATGAGGGAAAACGTTTCTTAGTCAGGCAAAATGGATAGGTGAAAAATTCCACTAAGATCCCTTCCACATACAAATGTCTTCCCAGAGATTTAATGAAACACTTCTCACGAGCAGGAATGCAGATCTGAAGGCCCTGGCCTCCTGCCAGACACATCCGTGCAGCGGCACAGCTGGCCCACTATCAGCTTCTTTACAGAGGTTGAGAATCTCTGAAAGCAAGGCCGGGCCTGGGAGGAAGCTCACAAGCAGACTTTCCAGTTCTTCCAGTACAGTCCATCCTTCTCTCTCTAAAGTGGAGATCCCAGACCCCATCAGAGCTTCCACCGCTAACCAACCTCCATGGTCTAGCTCACGTGTTTACCCTGCAGGCTGTAACAAAAGCTTCTGACAATCAGGAATAACCCCGTCAGGTGTGATCAAGGTAGGGCCCCTCTTGGGACAAAAATAGAGAGGGTGTAGGGTGGGAACATTTAATAAAAGACACAAATCCTGGGGACAGAAGCCAAAGCCTTTGGCTTAGGTACACATATTCCACACCTTAGGAAGCAGGTTTTGATCTGGTCCAGCTGAGCTGGGCACAGTGTAGGGGCTGGGAATGCTCCAGGGAGAAGCATCAGACTCCATGGAGGCTCTGCTTCTCAGTCCTTGTGAGAAGATCTCCCACATCCAGTCCAGGCAGAATATAGCCCACAGGGGCAAGAAGACATGGGGGAACATGGGGGAATGGGGTGTACTGAACACATAGCTCTCAGGCAGTGATCAGAGCCCATGGAGCTTCCATGTCTCTGAGAGTGGATTGTAAGACCCTGCTCTCTCCCTGCACTCGGCCATGGCAATCATTCTCTGTGCACACAGTATATTAGGGACAGGCTCACAGTAATGATGGATCCTGCAGGCAAACAGGAAAAAAACACACTACCTAATGGAGAAAACAGAATTCATCCTCCCACACATCCTTCAAACAAGGGCAAATAACTACTCCAGCCTTGTTGTCACTGGCCAGGCTGTAATTGTTGGGAGAAAAGTCCTATAACAGATGAAGCTGGCCCATAAAACCCCTGAATTAAGTCCTGGCTCCATCACTGACTAGCAGTGGCATTTTAGACCAGTATCTTTAAGGCTTCTCTGAGTTCTGGGTTGTTCAGATGTACTGTAAAGAAGCCACTCCAAAACACCACGCAGGTTCACATACTTGGTACCAAGAAGCCCTTTCTACTAGTCTATCCTTGGCTAGAACAGGAGGAGCCTTCATAGTAAGTTGGGTCTAATATGCTCATTGCTTACAGAAAGACTTGCAAACACCTTTGTGTCTAGACTAATGTCCAGGGGACAGTCAAGAAGGGAGACAGAACCCAACCATGGTGTTACAATCTGCAATCCCAACACTCAGGAGATAGGGGCAGAAGGATCAAAAGTTCAACCTGGGTTACACAGTGAGTCCCAAGGTCAGCCTGAGCCACCTGCAGTATTTGAAGCTTGGAAGGTTGCTGTGTGCATCATTCCCTGTCACCATGCAGAGCTGTCTTCTTGGAGAGTCTCATTTTGTTTTTCAGGTAAGAAAAAAACCTCTCTTCTGTTGTAGTAAATAGGAGTGGTGGGGCTGCGTCCCCAACACCCCAGCCGCCTGCTAGCTTATGCCCGAAATAACAACACACAAACTGTATTCATTTAAACACTGCTTGGCCCATTATATCTAGCCTCTTCTCGGCTAACTCTCGCACCTGGACTAGCCCATTTCCAATCATGTGTTGTAGCACCTCAAGGTGCACTTTCCTGGAAGATTCTAGCCTACGTCCATCCTGGGTCAGAGCTGAATAGCGTCTGTCTGCCCAGGAGCCGGGAGCATGGCGTCTCTCTGAGGCGTCTGCTCCCGAGAGGAGAGCTGTCGAGTCTGAGCTCACTTCCTCTTCCTCCCAGCATTCTGTTCTGCTTACTCCACCCACCTATGTTCTAACCTATGAGAGCCAGCCAAGCAGTTTCTTTATTTTTTTAACCAATGACCTTCCTCCATCATTCTGTAGAGAAAGCTACTTCATAACACCAAGCAAGTTCATATGTAGAGCCAAGTGAAGAACCAGGGTTGTAGGCAATCAATGGGTTAAAGGAAAAAGACAAAGAGCTGAGAGGCTGGGCTTCTCCCCTTTACTTTGCCAAGTCACAGACTCTTCCTTTCTGAGCCTCCCTTTCCTTGGTGACATAATGAAGGAATTGAAGTTGAGATCCTCTGGCTGGCATATGCCAGCCTGAACTCTTTGAAAAGGACTACTGAGAAAGGCCACAGGGCTATGTCCAGACACAGAAGGGAAGTGCACTAAGAGAGAAGACAGTCCTGTTCTTTGCCATCCTGGACCAGATTGTTTGAAACTCCCTTTCAGCTCTGGTAAGTCTCTGATACTAAAGGCTGTGTAGCGACCAGAAGTTGGCTGAGCAAATCTACCAAAACATCTCCTCCCCACAAAGGCTTTCCCTAGCATCACATTGTTAAATAAGTAGCCAAAATTTAAAAATCAAGAAATTCCACATAATTGATACCCACTCACACAGCCTTGGTGGGCTGGATGGGACCACATGAGGCAGGACTGGTTTGAAGGTCTGGCCCCCAGAATTCATGTCTTAGAAACAGAGCCCTCAAAATCACATGCCAATACTATTTTGAGGTATGGATTAGACTATAGGGGCTTGCGGATTAATAGACTAGTGGGTTTTCAAGAAAAAAAAATGTTACCATAAGAGTATGTCCATGAGAAAAGCCAGGCTGGTCACTTTCAGGAGGTGCCCTTCCCCTCCCCGGAAATTGTCAGAGTCCCCACTTATAAGAAGAACCCTCCCAATCTTCCCAGCTTCTAGGACAGTGAGAAATAAGCCTCTTTGCTGTAAATGTTAGGTAGGCATTTGTTATAGCTGCAGATCATACTCTAAGATAAACAAGCATCAACTTTCTTAGTTACTCCATTCATTTGTGCCCTGCCTGGCCCCGGGAGGGACTGTGGTCCTTATCCTAACCCCACTGACCTCCCTCACCACCTCACACAAGCCGCATACTTGCCTTCATTAGGGGCATCCTCATCCCACACAGACCACATCTGGACACTGAAGAAGGGTGCCCAGCAAGCGATGTAGGCCAGCACGATGACAAAGGTCATCTTCACAGTTCGGATCTTTGCCCTGGAGATGGTGCTGATGCTGCTGACCCGGGACGGCAGCCTTCTAGTGGCTGCAGCAGGGGAAGAAGATGAGGACTTGTCCCAAGTCCTCCAGCCCTTTCTTTCCTCCCTGCCAGCCTGTGTCTTTACTTTAAGGTTCTTGTAGATCTCACAGCAAATGAGGCTGTAACAGGCTGTGAGCATGGCCACAGGTAGCACAAAGATGGCCAAGGTGGTCCAGGTAATGTAGGCCCGTGGCCCCCAAGAAAAGTAGAAATCTGCCCAGCAGTCCAACACCCCTGAGCCCTGGATCACCTCTCGCAGAGAAAAAATGAAAATTTGAGGGAGGCTGAGGATGGCAGCCAGCAGCCAGGGGGCAGCAATGAGAGGGTAGGTGGAATGGCTGGGTTGCTGGAGGCTGCGAAGGGGGTGACAGACAGCCAGGTACCGATCCAGCGTCATGGCCAGCAGCATGTAAGTGGAAGCAAACATGCTGAGCACCTGCAGATACTTGACGGCCCGGCAGAGGAGGTCAGAGCCCTGGAAGCGGTAGGTGATATCCCAGAGCAACTGAGGCAGTACCTGGAAAAGCGCCACGCCCAGGTCAGTCAGGGCCAAGTGCAGCACAAACAGGTGCATGCGGGAACGCTTGCGGCCCTGGCAGCCCAGCACCAGCAGTACAGCCAGGTTGCCCCCTGTGGCCAGAACCAAGACAGTAGCTAGGATACCAATCTCCACTTTGGCTAGCTCTTCATCCCTGCCCAGCCAGGGTATGGTAGCATTGGGGACAGACAGAGTGCCCCCAGGGGAGGGAGTGGCGGTCCAAGAAGATTCGGAATCCATGGTCAAGATTTGAGGGAGAGAAGATTAGGAAGGTGGAGGGAGGGACCTTGTGGGTGCAGGAGGAAGCTGGATAGATAAAATAGAGGGGGAGAGAAAGCTGTAGAGGTGGAGCGAAAAGGAGAGGAGAATGGCGGGGTGAGGGCTTAGAAATGGGTGAAGTTCCGTAGATAGGAACGGGGAGGAGAATGAAACCAGCAGGGAACAAAACTGACATCCCCAATCCCCACCGAGGTCAGGGAACCACGGAAAGAAAAGGAGGGCCTGGGAGCTGGGTGTCAGTGCGGCAAGGATGGGGGCTTCTGAAAGGTGGCACAGAGGAAGAAAGCAGAGGGCGCCGCTGCCATCTCCCAAACTCAACCCAAATTCACTTTATCCAAACTTTTCTGAAAGTGGAGACAGTGAATGTCCTCGAAGGCGCAGTCCAGGACCATGGGCGTTGCCTGCAGGAACTGGAAACCCCAGGTAAGCCGCGCACAGTCGGTGCTCTGACCCTCACCGGAGGAGCGCAAGCACCAGCCCTGCAGACACGGCAGTCCAGAGCGGTTTTTTATGTGTTTGGATTCCTAGTCCAGAACTGCCGCTTGCCGGTTGGCTCCTGCAGAGGAGGGTGGAGTGAGGCTCAGTGGCACCCTTCAGACTGGGGTATTGAGGGGAGGGGCTGAGGAGCTGGGTGGGATTGGCGGAGGAGGATCAGGGAACAGAGTTTAGAAGGGAGAAGCAAGCTCTCACCTGCTGCTGGGATTTGTTGAGCAGCAAAGAAACCTATCTACCTTGGCATCTTGGCCCCTCGACTCTATCCAGACAGCTGCATGCTCGAGATGGGTGTGTATGCTTGTACATTTGTGTGTGTGTGTGTGTGTGTGTGTGAGAGAGAGAGAGAGAGAGAGAGAGAGAGAGAGAGAGAGAGAGAGGAGAGGAGGAGAGAAACATAGGTGGCCTCTCTTCCCAAACAAATCTTCAGGGATTGCTAAGAAACATGTCCTAAAGAAACTGACGTTGGGGAACCAGATGTGACAGCCATTTGTCTTAGGATGGACACTTGGTGCTTTAAAGAAAAAAAAGTGAAGACATTTGTGATTGAGAAGGGTGTGGGGTGGGGATGGGGGTGGGGATGAGGGTGGGAGTGGGGGAAGGAGCTAGACCTGGGAGCACTGGCGCCATCAGAGCAGATGACAGGAGAAATTTCAAGTAGAGTTTGCATCTCCAGGGTAAGTCTGAACCTGTGGCCTTTCTGGGGATACATTTCACTAGCTAAGCGTGCCGTTAACCACCCTGTGAGGCAGAAGCACAGCAACTTAGAAATTCTGTCACTTACTTAGAAGGTTATAGTCATCAGCAGCGCAGAACCAGAACAGACCAGCGTGCCTACGTTCTGCGCCACAGCAGAAGCGAATACATTATCTTCAACAATACTGATGTGATGTGAGCTGTCTGAGAGGCGGCAACTGATCGCAAACAAACACCATCTGGCCGCGAAAAAGTCTACATACAGCTCGGTGGAGCAGGCACCAAACGGTGTAGGTTGGGAAATTGACTTTATCTTCTGGAGTTTTACACTGTTTGGACTCACTAGGTAGGTTAGAATTCATGAGGAGCTGTGATGTATGATCCAAGCTTCAGGAAGAGCAAGCTCTGTGACTGCAGGTCCGTTTAACTTGCTTTTTAGTCAAAGCTGATTCAAGCCCCTTTGGCTAAACCACCCACCCACACATCCACTTTGTATCTTTCCTAGGTCGTTAAACCTGTACGTCTCACAAATTCTTCATCTTGGGCTTTGCCGCCCAACCTTCCACATTTTCCAGAATTTTGCCCTTTGTGAACCCCTTACTTTCATTCCTACCTCTGTGCAAACCACACTCGAGTATTCTTCATTAAAAAAAAAAATCTAATCCTCTCCAGAGAGTATACCCAGATTTCCAAATGTGTGCTCTTCCTGCACACGGCATTGCTTCTTGCTCCCAAAGATTCACTTTTCTTTTCAAAACAGGACTTCACTGTGTAGAAGAGACTGCCCTGCCGCTCAGAATTGGCCTGCCCCAGCTTCCCAAGGCTGGGACCACAGGCATGAGTCCCACAAAGTGCCTCCAATCATTCATTTCTACGCTGTTTTGAGCAGAGTCTTCCAAATTGATATCTGCCTTTAAAATACAATAAAGACGACAGCAAACCATGTGTACCATCTTTGAACTTGCTTTCTTGGTTTTGTTTCTCTTGGGGGTGGAATATTTTTGCTTTGAGACAAGTTTTTTTAGACTTGAAATTCCCTATATAGTTAAATATAACTTTGAACTGTTTAGGGGTGTGTGTGTGTGTGTGTGTGTGTGTGTGTGTGTGTGTGTGTACATGTGGAATTCAGAGAATAACTTCAGAGAGCCAGTTTTCTTCTTCTACCTTGTGAGCCCCTTAGGTCATCAATCCTGGCAATAGGTTTCTTTGCCCACCAAGCTTTCTCAGGGGCCCCTCCTCAGACTCTTGCTGTTTCTGCCTCCACTGCCCAGGTGCTGGGATTAGAGGTGTGTTCTACCGCCACTGGCTCTGGACCGTCAGTTTTAAATTCTGTTGTTTTTGAGGTTGCTTATGCTGATAGGTGCTATAAATCTAGTTAACCGACTTTACTACATGATATTTAAAATGAAAGCAAACTGATTTTATTTATTTATTTTTTTAGAACTGGGTTTTCATAATTGAAGTCATCCCAAGATTTTTTTCTTATTTGCTGAGTCAGTTCATCAGGGTTTCTCTTAGGTGAATAGCTAGTGGTCATTCAGTGAATGATCTTGTTGTTGTTTCTTCTGCTTTTTTTGAGACAGGGTCTCACTATGGAGCTCTGTCTTTTCTGGAACTCGCTCTGTAGACCAGGCTGGCCTCAAACTCACAGAAATCCTCCTGCCTCTGTCTCCTGAGTGCTGGGACTAAAACCCTGCACCATCACTCCCAGCTACAAATGAATTTTTAAAGAGACAAGCCACACCCTGCACGTTTGTCTCTGAACTAGCTGCTCCACCAATTTAGTTTTCCTGTCTTCTTGTGGGTAGACTTTTCCATTTTTGTCAGCTTGATCTGCATGGCATGGCCCTTCCTTCTGTTTTTGTCGTTCTCTGATTATGATTGGTTTTGAGGCTCTTCCCACACTTCGATTTGTCTTGGTTTCCTCTTTTATTAATTGTTCACACCCTCCATGCCACTTCTGAGGTGATTTGTCACTTTGCAAGTCTTTCTGCATGTTCTGAGATGGGTCTTTTATGCATTATGACATGTTGCAAATATAAATAAGCTAGGTTCTCTGACTCATCTCTTAACCTTAAGTGGGGTCATTTACTACATAGAAACATAATTAGGATTTAGTTGGTGTCTTTTCTTATTTCAACCTTTTGTGTTCTATGGTCTCTCCTTCCTGCGGTGGTCACCCTATTCCCACCCTCTGCCCTAGCATTGTTTCTCACTTTTAGGTTTGAAACTCTATGGAATTTTCCCCCCTGTGTGAAGTAAGTCTCTAGCTTCATTTTCCTCCCAGGGAACATTGATTTCTCCATTTATTGAGCAGTCCATTTTTAGCAATCTATTACCTGAATAATTACCAAATTTTAAAGTTTTTGTTGGGACTATTTCTAGGATTCCTATCTGGTATGGTCCACTATTTTTAAAATCCCTGTTCTAATATTTTACTATTTGAAAATGAACTTCAATGTAATATAAAACAAAAGCAAGACTACCTCCTGTTCCTTTCAAAAGTTTTAAATATGTGTTATTTTTTAATTGTATGTATATGTGTGAGTCTGTTGGGGGATATGCACATGTGAGCACCATGCCCTCCAAGGCCAGAGGCCTTGGATATCCCAAGAATTGGAGTCGCAGGTCGTTGTGGGCCAAGGATTGAGTGATGGGAATCAGACTCAGATCCTCTGCGAGAGCAGCAAATCCTCTTAACCACTGAGCCACCTCTCCGGCCCCTCTCTCTCTTGTTCTTCTCAAGCTGTTTCTCAAAACTTTGAGAACTATAATCTTTGTCAGCCTGTCCAACTCCACAGAAATCTCTGCTGAACTTAGGTCAGAAACATTGGATTTGGGGAAAGAAGTAGCATTATGTATGGTTTTAACTAGGTTTAACATCCTTCAATAATTCAATAATGCTCCATATCTTTCTCCATGAACGTCTTTTTCCATCCTGTGGGATTTGATTCAATCTGCCTTACAGTTTCTGCTGCCACTATGCACATTGCTGTAGTCTACTGCGTCTCCTATTGACTGACTGGCTGGTTGGTGCTGGTAAATGGAAACAGTACTGGGTTTTGTATCACATTCCTATATATAGCAGGTTTTCTTTTATTAACATTTTTTTATTATACAGTGTTCTGCCTGCATATGTGCCTGAACACCAGTAGAGAGCACCATATCTAATTACAGATGGTTGTGAGCCACCATGTGGTTGCTGGGAATTTGGTGTTGGAGAATTGTCTGTATTCTGTCAATCATGTTTTAAATAAATGCTGATTGGCCAGGCAGGAAGTATAGGGGAAAACCAAACAGGAAGTAGAAATGATGCAAGGAGAACATGATAATTCTGGGAAGGAGGAAGCTGATTCCTCCCACTCCTGCCCAGATCACCGAAGCAGCAGGATGTGATCTGCTCCACTGAAAAAGGTACTGAGCCACATGGCTAACATAGATCAGAAAAATGGGTTAATCAAGATGTCAGAGACAGTGAGGGGCTAGAGCTAATGGGCGAATCAGCTTACAATTTATGGAGACCTATGTGTGATTTTCTTTGGGGCTAAACAGTTGTGGGGTACCGGACAGGACAAAAACCCCAACAAGCAGTTCCCCTCCATGTTACAAGAATTGAACTCAGGACCTCTGGAAGAGCAGCCAGTGCTCTTAACCTCTGAGCCATCTCTCCAGCCTCTATAGCAGGTTTTCTATAGTGTGTAAACTGTCTAGGCATGTAATATTGCCTGCAACAACATTTGATGTGGGAGTGTCATATATCAATCTGTTGATTT